TGCTGAACCCGTGCTATCGGTCAATCCGCACCCCAAACTCTGCTCAAATCTTTCAGCACAGAAGTTGCGCATAGGAAATCAATGCATCTAAGACAAAAGACACACAAAAGGGTCAACGCCTCATGATGTGCACTGGCCAGTGTCAGATCTGCTGTGTGCTTCAAACAGATGCTGCTCCTGAGAGCAATTGAATAAGGACACTATGGCTGTTCACTTTGAATAGCTGATGAAAACAGGTAACTTTGCCACAGCACGTCAGGGCTCAGTCCTCCTATTGGACATCTTATGGTCAGATGAAGTCCGAATTCCAACGCAACCAATTGCAGTCCTTGTGACCTGTGTATGCAATATACATCTCTCCTGTAAAGAGATGAGCTGTGGAAGCAAAAAGAGATGTTTCCTTCTGAAGGTCTAGAGCAAGAGCTTTGTACTTCTTAGAAGTTCTGGGGTTCATCTGGATCCGCAGTACGTAAAATGATCTAGTTGGGGTATTTTTGTCCGAACTCCAGATGCAGCAGCTACTTTTTGGGTTTCTCTAGGATGTTCAGGAATTTCCCTCGAGTCATTTCTCTAGCTGAAATCACAAGGGAGGAAAAAGAGATTAGTATTTTTTAAAAAGCCAAGAAACCCAAACAATTGTATAATTTACAGATTTTAACCAGAGGATAAGAAATTCACTTAGATTTGTGCATATACCAATAGTGAGTAAGGACTATTTTTTTTTTTTTTAAGTGGAAAATAAATAAAACTGCATTCCAGCTTGAATTCCTGACATCCTAGAAATGCAGGCAGGGCCTGGAATCTTCTAACCTCAGCAATAATTCCCACAGGCTGTCTCATTACATACAATCTATGCTTTCTATTCCTACTGCGTTATGCTCTTGCAGCATCTCTTTTCCTCTGTACTATCCATCTCTGAACGGTGTAATCCAGATCTCCATCACTCTGTCTCAGAGCAATTGTTCCTGGATGTTATAATCCGTCAGAGATTATGGAACTCTCTCTTTCTCCATTTCAGGATTATTGGTCCCTGGATGCTATGATCTTCAACAGAAATTAGACAGCATTTTCTCTCTCTCAGCAGTGTCAGTCCCTGGATGCTGTAATATAATGGGGTTTATATTCCTTCAATGCAGTTCATCTATGGATAGTGTAATAAAGTAAAGTTTATAGAGCTTTGGTCTTCACTCTCTCTCTGCATTGTCAGTCCTTCGATGTTTAATACAGCAAGGCAAGGTTTATATGTCTCTCTCTCACTCTTGGCACCATCAATCTCTGGTAGCTGTATTACAGCAGGGTTTACACAGCCACTTTTCTACACGAGACACTTCTGACTTGTGAGGCCATAAGCTCACAAGCTGGCAGAGCAGCCCTAATACTATCTTTGTCTTGCAATAACAATATAATGCATCAAAGACAACACGATTAGCAACTGAGTCCTGGAGAAAGACAATCTTCCCACCAGTGCTTCCCTTCATTTCCTTTAAATAAAGGTGTAAGCTTTGTGCTGGACTGACAGGCATCAAAACATGGAGGTTTTTATTCACAGGACTGATGAAAGCGTGCATGTTTCCCACACCTAGCCTAGAGAGACTCTAGAAAGGGACGGCAATTCATTTTCTGTTTTATCCATTCAATTCCTGACCTCTCTACTGAGAGGAACAACAGAAATTACAATTAGCATAAAAACTGGAGGTGGGTTTGTTGCTGATGTTGGGTTTTCTTTTGACATTACTGATTATCTGTTAGAACAGAACTAAAATGTAATAAAAATGTTCAGCTTAAAATATTCAATACGTACCCTCAGGTAAAGACATTTTGTTATTCTTTACCTAAAGGTTAAAATTTGTGCCTTAAAGCCTCTTCTTTGAACTATTACATTCTAATTTGTCTACCCAAAATCGTACCACAAGGTACTGTCATCAACAAGATCCCTGTAAAACAATTAGTGGTATTATGAACTGCCTGGTACATATTGATATTCACAGGCTGCAAAGTCCACTGCCGTGAGTGAAACACGCTTCCGACTGGCTGCAGATTCAAGCAGATCACTGCATTATTCGCTTGGTTCATGCCTCCAGCTGTGAGTTATATCATCTGGGATCCATTCCCAACTCTGCTTCTGATTTACAGCGTGAACCACCACAAAAGTACTCCTTTGTACCTGTACTTCCCCATCCGCAAGCGAGCTTGTATCTTTTAAGCGCTGCCGAAGTGACACATGGACAGAACGTGCTGCAGAAGGGCAGAGTGGATTGTTATTTTGTCAGGAACTAAGTTGTTACGCACAAAGCACATGATTAAATAAAAAAGCAAGTTTTTACAAATTTCAGCTAGCAGTAGATTTTCAGCACCAGTTCTTTGACACCTCCCTGCCTTGCACCTTCAACAGTGCATGGTTTTAAAACACTCTTAACCAAGAAAGCACAAAGCTGAACTGTAGTTGATAGAGTGGAAAGTTTTCCGGAGTGCAAGTCCCATATAGGAGATATACGAATGCATGACAATTCTGTTCCCCCAAAGAGGGCTGCACCCTATAAATCAGGCAGAGAGCACAGACTCCTTCTGTGCGCTGAGTGAAATTACTGTGGGTTGGGGGTTGCTCCAGAGCACGTGCCCTCCTGTTCACTTGTCATCGGAGATGTTAACATTTCTGATTAATTCACAGACCTCTCATTTTATTCTTCATTCCTTTATCCTTGCTATCCTGTTCTGCTGCAGCTTAAAGATTCTTACCGACCTGCTACAATAATCACCGCCCGCTTCCCCCCCCAACCTGGTGAAATTGTTTAGTGATGCCAACCGCGCTTTTAATTTGCAAGACATCAGACACAGAGGTAATTTATACCAACATCTGTTCATTTCTGACTTCTGAAACAAACTCGCACATGCTGCTACAAAATCCCATTAGGAGCAGGAGACAGCCTTCTGCTATTCTGTATTCCTCTTCTCCTCACATACTCAGGCTTGCATCGGGGCTTTATTTTTAAAGATATGATGCCAAACTGAAAGAAAAGACCTTACATCTTTGTATATGTATGAAAATGGCCAGGAAATAACATCCTCATATCACAAAAAAAATCACAGCCAAACTAAGGGCAAGTTTCCACAAACATTAACAATCTTGTTTTCCCTGCTTCAGCCGCTTCTCTTATCCGCCCAAGAACGACAGTTCAGTGTATTCGTGGTAAACACAGGCCAAATACATGTTACATGGTACTGTGTTCAAACGTCTTGGCTATTCCTTCCCCTTTGTTCCTCTTTAATCTGCACTGGAGTATGATTTGAGCTTGGGTTTTGTACAGAAAAACCTCTAATTAAACTGACTCCTCTGCTCAGTATTGCTTCTGATAAATGAATTCTTAATAATGGGAATATCATTTCCAATGGGGCCTTTTGGAGGTTGCTGGAGTGAGGGAAGAGCTTGTGAATGAAGAAACCATCACCCACATTCTAAATACGATTGCAGTCTAAGAGATGGTAAAACCTGCCTTAAGCAACTACCCAAGGGACCAGCAGAAGCCAGTTGCATAGTAGATAGAGGTGGATTTTTTAATTAAAAGGTTGGATAAAACCGTAGTGAAAACCTTAGGGATTTTCTTCTTTAAAATGGTTGCTTAAACCACGGACTTCAAGTGAAGAGAGGGCTTGAGCGCAGGTTTCATCATACCAGCAAACAGGCACAACAGAGGCTGTGCAGCATGAAACGGAAACATGAATCTCCACGTCAAGTCACGATTTACAACCTTGCCTATGCTGTGCGTCTACTACAATAGAAAAATCAACAGTGGATATGATCGCAATAGCTTGGATACAAATTAATCTCACGTACTAGGGAGGAGGAAGATGATACTGAAGACCATAGAAAAAACATTTTAAGATGTTATCAGCACTGGTTACAATGGAAGTTGAGTGCTTGAATAGACTCTTGCAGAGAAATGTATTGAAAAATGGTATCAGCCTATTGTAATGAACAGAGAATGCTGTACTGTATGAATTAAGTTTGCTGCCTGGCACGATCTGCCAAGCAGATCTCAATAACAGGTAGTGGGTAGGAAGGGCTGGGGCTGAAAGGAGAAGGGGAGATTTCTACTTGACAGGGGAGCAGAATAAGATTTAATATAATCTCCTCTTTAGAACTTCAATCCCTCAATCCCGCATTTAGCCTTGTTGCCCGGGGCTCCTTTTCTACTACAATTGTCCCCAAGCTGCCTCTCCGCAGTAAATTTTGTGGTTGCTGGTTGAAAAGATTCAGTAGTACAGATTGATTTCCTACAAGTGAGGAGATGAGGGATTACCAAAAGCAGTCCTGGTTAACAAGATTGGGTACAGAATCTCCTGCTAGAGCAGCCCACTCTGCCAGTGCTTTGCATCCTTTCACTATGACATATGGGTTTCATTACACAAAGATTTTCCTGATTTTAACTTGGAGGCGATTACATTGGAAACTCAGAGCTATCTTTACATCTGTAGCAATTTAAAGGTTAAGTAACTTTTAATCAAATGACAAAGACTCATAATGTTTTTTCCTTGATTGAAAATGAAAACTGCTGTTCTGGATATTCCTTCCAGTGACAATTTAATTAGAAAAAACCACTGCACTGGAGATTGGGGTCCAGCCTGATTGCTCCCCGTAAAAAGCCTTCTCACACATATGACAGCACAGGACATACTGTGTCACAAGGTCTGGACAGCCAGGAAATAATGGAAGGATTTACTGCTATAAAATCAGCAATGAAAACAGAGATTTACACTTATATAAGCAACTTTCATCCAGGAGAATCCCTAAGCAACACACATATGTACATACTTTTTTAACATAATATACACTTAAATGCAAAAGCGCAACACAGTTGGTGATAAAGTCTATGTAAAAGATATATGTGACGAACTGTATTTATCATGATCATTATACCTTCCGCTGCTTACTACTTCTAGGCTTATCTAAAAATCTCAAAACAAAGCCTGTGAGCATCTTCAAATCACAGATATTTTAAAATGAAGTCACCTGCTAAAGAAACACTTCTCTGCCTCTCCCCCAGATGTACAACTTACGGGACAAATTTGGCTGTGTTGCTCCTCTGACCTGAAAATGTAGCCGTGTTGAAATCTAAAGGTCTTGCTACTAAAAAGAACTGGAAATACAATTAATGCCCTGTGAACAGAACATGTTTTCAGCCCTGAAATGTCTTGTAGTATCACACTTTGAATGCTACATTCTTGACGACAAAAAGGTTAATTTAAGCACTGTCATACTTTGTTAGCTTATCAGTTATTCCTCCCATTCAGTTGTAGTTAGGGTAACTAAAGAACTTGTTTTTCAACATGGAAGGATTCCTTTAAAGTACTAATCACGCACTTTCAAATTACTGCTGTGTCTTAGGACTATACAGAAAACAAAACTAAAAGGGTTTATTTCTGAAGAACTATCAGTGGAAATTACCAGTTCAGGGCAAAGAACACGAATTGCAGAGGGACAGCAGAACAATCCTCTGGTTTTTAACCCTTCTATCACAAGGGTCTGTTGCATCAGAAATTATTTCTTTTGTCCAGGGATACAATGTTAGGATAAGA